CAAAAACAAACTGTTGCACTGGATGCGTAAATTAGAAAAAAACAATAGAACACATTTCATCAAATTCCAGAGGCCGGTGTTTATTCCAGAACAAATTGACTAATCGCAAATCAGTCGGCGCTTCAAGAAAAAATATGTGAAAAACATGTTGCTCAACTAAATCTGCGTACATTGCAGCGGCGTTGAGCGCGCGTGTTCAGTTTTCCGTTTGCTAAGACCCCGAGTTCTTTCCAGACTGAAAAGAATGACCGGGTGCTTCAGTCAAATTGATCGTCCCACCTTTAAATAAACAACAAATATCAGTTTCACATGCTACGTAATTGCATCCTGGTGGTGCGTTTTCTTCGCGAAAGCGAACTTGCCTCAGAAGCTTCAAGCAAAAAATGCTTTCTAAAACCGACATGTGCTAAGCCTTTAGTTTTTCAAATGAAACGCGACACGCAAAACTTCCGACACGAGAAAGGCTTAGATGTTGGCTGGTATTTCTAAGTTCAAGAAGAGGCAAGACTGCTCTCGCTGCACCAACGTCAACGCTTAGTGCCGCAGTATGAGAAACTGATTTTTAGTATTTATTTAAAGCGGGAACGACTCATCTGACTCACCTTACACCGCCAACACACGTGGAATGCAGTCCGCACGGACCGCACCACAAGTTACGAAAGCCTTGGCCACGCGTGGTGCAAAGCAAAAACGTTGTATGTGCAAGTGGCGCTAGTGATCAAGTACATAAAAAAGAAGTTTGTTCCGCGGAAAATCGCATTCACTGATGTAAGGAATCGAAACAAAGTAAGGGGTACCGCGAATGTAAATATTTATTTACATTTTTATTTTCATCTCAAAATTAAGCAAGCCGGACTTTAATCCGCGTTTGGATAGGTTCCACGGGGAGTCATGCTTATCAGAATTTGTAAATACGAAATAGGCTTAGCTTAGGCAGTCAAAACATAGATGACATAGATCTACCCTGCCATCTATTACACTATCTACATACAAAACATAGATTACATCTATGTTTTGTATCATTTCTTTGTTCTATGACTCTTCATTCTCTCTTTCACCATAAATACGAGCGAAGGTGAGCTCGTGACGTGTCAACAGCGACCTCACATTGCTTTCGCTCGCACTGATCGTGAAACGAAGTGTAGGACATGTGGGGCACGTTTCGGCGGTGCACGCGTCGACGTGTTCAGAACTAATTTGTTCTACGTCATCAAGGTTAGCGTAACTTCTGCAGGGCAAAAATTGCAAATTGGGTTATGGGGATATTTTTACAGCGTGTAGTTGGTCAGCCATTTAAAGTTGCGACGAGTCACTCGCGGTAGATGAGCAATTTAGCCGGTGCAGCACAACCACTAGCCTGGGGTCTTTAACGTGCGCCACGCAGTAGTGATACACGACCGAACGCCGGTACGATGCTCATCCAGATCGAAACGGGCAGGGGTGCGGAACCCAGGTGCAACAGAACCCAGGATCCCTGGGTTCTGTTGCGCGAGCTTTCGCTCCGCGTGCTCCGAGCTGGTGTGCTCTAGCCCACTCGGCCGCCGATCCCGCTCTGGAGGGAAACATGTCTTCTGTTTAGACACGCACAGAAAGTTAGCGAGTGGATTACACCGCTGTATGCACTGAAGCTGTAGCGATCTAGAAGGTCCACGAAAAAAAAAAATACAGCCATACTCGTTGGCAGGTTGAAAGTAAACGCTGGGGAGGGGGTCGGCTCCTCCCGAGCGTTCGCTCTGCAAAAGTGGAAAGAGATGGGAGGAGCTGCTTCATCTCAAAACTGAAAGTTTTCAGATGAAGCAGCTCCTCCCTCCTTCGATTTGTGTGAATGTTGATAAGGCAAAAAACGCAGTGCCTCTTATGCTCATTTAGCGACGCAGCCAGGAATATTTTCTAAGGGATGGGGAGGGGGGGGGGGGACGCTTCTCCCGCCTCCCCTGTATTTACATCACTGGTGTATTGTCGGCTGTACATGATCTTGAATTTCTCAAAACAACCTGTTTTACTGAGCCACAAAACACGGCCTGTAATTCCAACCAAACAAAAAAAAAAACTTAAAAAATACGTACATTTTTTAGCAAAAAAATAAATAAACTTAAAACAGATATCTAGTGAATGATTAATCAATTACATGTATTCACAAATAAGAAATCAAGTCGAATTAAGATATTAAACACCGTTTGTTTGAAGGACCAGATGGACATGAGTTGATGCAGATTCCAATCAGCAAACAAAGGTTATCAAGCAATGTATAACAGGAGAAGAAGCTGGGAAATTATGTCTGCTCGCATTCGATTGACTTCAAAGTTTGTATAGAGTACGATAACTGCAGTAATGTCAACCGTAGTGACACCGGCCCCAGAAATATGGACAGAGATAGAGTGGGGTCGAAACCAAAACTACTAAGTCGTATTTCAATCCTTGGCTGCCTTGGCTGGCTTGGCTTCGTGCCAATTCAAAGCCGCAAGCAACTTCTGGATCCTTGTTCGTTCCGGAGAGGACACAAAGGCCTTTCTCGGAGTGCGTCGGTCGATCCGAGTTTAGTTAAGTTTTGACGATTGCATATTCATATTGCATGCTAGAAGAATATCCAGATATGCTAGATCATCTTCGGAACAACGTAGCTCATGTTGCCACCGTAATTCGGATGATTTTTCACTTTTTTCTACGATTTGAGTCGAAAAAAGTGAAATCGTCTTAGCACTGACCGGCGGCGGCGCCGCGGTGCCGCCGTGCCGAGTATGTAGGCTCCCTAGCCGTGCCGCTATCTTGAGAATCCCGTGAATGCTCTGCGACACCGGAGCACTGCAGAGACGCTGATTAGATTGTTTCTAAAGTACGCGTTGCTATCAGTGAACTGTTCTGTGTTGTTAAACGCTTGATTGCGTGTCGTCTCGTCCTTTTTCATGCTAGCGGCAGCGTTGAGTTGTGCCCAATGTTTTGAAACTCCCGGCCCGCGCGTTCTGGGTTTTCACGCCGCGTCCAGAGGGATGGCGCGGTTCGACTGGCGCTGGCGTTTGGCGTATTGATAGGACACGCTCCTAACTGGGTGTCGTCGTTGTGCTCGTGTACGGCGTGTGCCTCGCGCCGGCGTGCGGTGCGTGGCGTTGGGTTTGAGGTGCTCGGGCCTTGAGTTTCTTATACTTGGGACACACGGGCAACTCGAATGCCATTTACAACGAATGACATTTGAGCGGACGGCCAATCGGCGCGCGACACTCCGGGCGTGACGCGTTCCACGCGCGACAGATAGCGAGCTGATTCGCCGATCACACAATTGTCATTCGTTGTAAATGGCATTCGAGTTGCCCGTGTCGCACGGGTGTTAAAAGTGTTGACCGAGCCCTGTTAATCTCATCGTTCTTGTTGTTTTCTCCCTTGTTGCCTGTTTGTTATTTTGATCATCTTGGTCTGGTTGATTGGCTAGCAGACGATCGTGCGTACGGGCCCCTGCATATATGTCTAGCCTTGCGAACCACCCAGGGTACTACTGTCGCTAATAATGATTATTATTGCTTGCCTTAGCGACGTTTTAATTTACTCCAGCTACATTCGTGACTTGTAGAACTCGTGGGTGCACAAGTAGTTTACATGGCCGAGGAAAGAGGTTGAATGATTTGATTAAAATGCTCTGATCTGGTATAGAACGTTTAGTGGTACTGGGGAGACACATACAAAGCAAGGAGATCCAGCTTTGAATGTGTTGGCTCCCTACTTACTACAACGTTTAAATACCTGAGGCCCTGGTAAAGTTGAAGGGAGTCTCTTAAAACATTTGTGGAAAGACCCAAAGCTGGATACAATTTTAGTCTAATAGCTGGTCCACACTGTTGCAACCGACTAGGACTGACTCCGACAAAACCACTCTTTAAGCCTCTTGTGACGGCTTATGACCACGCCGTCCAGCAGTAATAATGGCAGTCGTAAGCGGCTTAAAACCCTGTTTTGTTCAACTCGGTCGTAGTCAGTTGCAACAGTGTGAACCAGCTCTAACGCCTCTTAGGCGCATGCGCAAACAGTAGCTTCAGGATAAACTTGCGCATTGCACTGCCCCAAAGGATTTCGATCACATCCCCGGTGTTTATTTTTAATTTGTATCCCTGCACTGCACAACATGTCAAGAGGCTTGTTGATTGCTGTGCATGTGCCTATCAAGCGAGCTGTGCTATTTTTAAGTGGTGTTTAATTTGTGTTTAGCTTCCTGGGATTTCTTAAGGTACCAGTAGGTATCTAAGCTCTACATGCACATTCTTCTTAACAGGCGCTTCACCAGAAATTTGTTTTTTTTTGGGGGGGGGGAGGGCCAGCAAAATGGACGATTCTGGGGGGGGGGATAGGGTAGGTAATAAAGAAAAGGTGAGGTAGGCTCCTACCCCCCCTTCCGGCTGCGTGCCTGGTTCTTAATACAATTGCGTCATGAAGAAGCTAAGTTTCCTTGTTTGGTTGAGTTTAATGGTGCTGTCATCATGGTCTTTGCACTGTCGACAACAAGAGAAGCGTAATGTTGGCACTTTTTCTTTTGTTGATCTGTGAAGCAAGTTTTGGTTTCTTTTTTTGTTCCAGAATATCAGTCTGATTCTTAATCATGGTATTGCAGGAAGTCTGTATCATCAAGAAAAAACTGCAGGTGGCTGGAAGCTGCCGATCAGCTGCCAGTCTGGATAGTAGCCATCAACCCAGCAAAGGCCTGCAGGCGAATCAGCCCAACCTGTTTCTCTGCCGCCATTCAAGACAGGGTGCTTTGTGAAAAGTGAAACGGGGCCCATGCACCGCTTCCGCAGGGCCCTACTGGTATTTATCTGACCTTTTGTTTTCCTAAACAAATAACACCATTACAAACTGTAATATACCGAGCGATTGCCCACTCTAAATTGGGGATGACCATGGAGAGCTGGGGGATAGGTGTACCAGAATATGTGTAGCGAGGATTGCGCTGCAGAACCCAGGGGTCCTGAGCTCGGTCCCCACCCTTGCTCACACACACCAGTGAGCTTGCTAGCCAACCGGCATACGGAAACAACTAGGAGTCCCGGTTCCCACTGTCCCATTTGTCATACACGTTGCACACCACTTGCTTGGTTTGTTCTAAGATTTCTTGGTTGCCAAACTTCATAAAAATCTTACATGTCAAACAAAGGGGCGAGCTCACAGAGTGTGCCTACAATAAACCACACTGATGATGCCCAAAGATGCGCATGATAAAGATGCCATCTTAATTTTGCAGGGAGCTAGAAAACCTAGGGTGAATTTAAACCAAGAAAACACAAAATAGCTAAAAAGGAAATGCTCTAGGTTTGGCACGTCCTGGCTAATGTTATGCTAACATTCTAAAGTCAAAGCTAAACAGAACAATTTTACATATATTTTAATTGGTTACGTTCCACCCAGCAAATTATTATGGTTGAACTATATTCAGCTATGCAGTGAAATGGTGTCCTTTGGCTCTCTAGCTTTAGCTCCATTGCCACGGAACGTTGTCCCCAAGTATATCATTTTCTAGCTCTTTTCGACTGCACCCCTCCTATTCCTCTCCTGCTTTGCTGTTCTACTCGTTCTATCCCCATTCTGTCTGCCAGTCGTGGAGATAAACGCCCATGGCGACAGGGTGCTTGATGTCTCTTTCATATATTTTTTTAACTTGCTTAAAATAGAGGAATAGGCTTTAATATGTCCTTAGATGAGTTGATATGTTTCAAAAGTAGGGGTTGAGCGCTTACTCTGCCGCGGGTGCATGCTCGGTGTTTTTTGGTAGTTTTATGGTGTTGTGCGTTACCAGAATAAGTTGGGCTTTAGTATAGTTACCGCATATGTGTACAGTAACTCACGCAGTTGTTAATGGCCGTTAGTACCTAACTCAACCCTGTGCAGGATGTCTATGAGCTGAAAATTGGTATTGTTGAGAAATTCGGCAATTGGAAAAGTCTCAAGATTTCCAGCCTAATCAGTATCGCCCTGTTGGAAAATATCGATGATGGAAAGATGATGGAAAAGGCTCATACAAGCGTAACCGTAATATGGGACATCCTATACAAGCGAAAAGGCAGCTCCAGTATAGTGGATTACGGCGGAACGATACAGGTAGGCGGAACCATACAAGCGTGTCGTATTATGGGACATCCTATACCGGCGTAGTGGATTATGGCGGAACCATGTAGGCGGACGGAACCATACATGGATAACGTAATATGGGACATCCTATACCAGCGAAAAGGCGATACCGGCGTGGTAGAGCCATATGGCTCCAACATGGTGGTTTCGCCTTTTCACTGTTGTACACGGCAATTTAGTTTTAAGCTTTACATATATGTTTAGAAAGGCCGTGAAAGCTAAATTAATGCGATTTGTGCAGGAGAGTTATATGGCCAGGCGTACGTAGCATAGGGACCTAGTCGTAACGATCAGTCAGATAATTAAATACAATTTGTTAATTAACTTTTTAATTAGTGAAAATGAAACTATGGTTTCTATTGGAAACTTGCTGAGTCACTGAAAACCACAAAATCAACTCTTTTTAGAAGGATATAATGCAGGGGTAGCATTTTACGCGTTCTGTAAAAATGCTTTATTTGGATACGAGTTTCTAGGTTTCAGTTTCTTATCAGAGCTCATTTTTGCGCCCACGGTCCTGTTCCCCAGGGGCTTAGACGCGCAACACACGTGCGCCTTGCTTCCCTCCATCCTACGAGGGAGGCGAGGGGGCGGCTTCGCACTGCGGCCACCGGGCAGCAGGACCGTAGGTGCAAAGATGCGCTCTGGTAAGAAACCGAAGTCTGGAAACGCGTCCAAATTGACCATTCTTTTAGAACACCATAAAATGCTGCTCTTGTCTTATATCTTCACAAAGAAAATTGATTTAGTGTGTTTTGATGATGCTTAGAAGTTTCTAATTGGAACCATGGGTCTATTTTCACTGATTAAAAATTTTAGGAACATACTATACTTAGAGAGAGGCTGAAGCGGTTTTGTATTTGAGAAAACTCTTTTAAATCTTCTTCATTTGACCTCCAGAATCTCAAATATCAAAATTATTTGCTAATTTAATTAATCGAGGCTGCATAGTCATTTTTAAAGCGCTTTGAAAGCACTTCCCTAGAGAGGGACGTAACAAGAGCAGCTTTCAAAATCTTTGTTCACGCATCTTCAGTGCCTATGAAAGCTATGCACGCACATGCTATTTTTTAAAGGGGCAGAAAAATGTGTCACGACTGGTGCCAATGCGGGAGAATATACCTAGAAAACTTGCGACTGGACGCGCGGCCCTTAAGCGACATACACTTGGCGGCTGAAAGGTCTTCTTACGATGTCACTATTGGTAGGATGTTTTTTTTGTGTTTTCTCACGTTTAGTTATATCTTTGTGGAAAACGAACGGGATATTCAGATTCGCGGGATAAAACCACGCGAGAATGAACCTCCATCTAGTTTTCTGAAAGAAGTCTGGCACATCTCTGTAATAAGCCGACTGATCATTACAAATTAGCCTTTTATACTATGCCGCCCTGGCCATATAATTCACGTGTACAGACTGCGTAAATGTAGCTTTTACGGCTTTTTTTTAAAAAATCTGTAAAATATACAAAAAAACACTCTGTAGAATGTCCCCCAATACAATATGATTGTATGGTTCCTTTCCCGCTTGCATTGTTCAAGAAAGACTTGTGGATATCCAGCGTTTCATTGGAATGCTGGATGTCAATAAGTCTCTACATCAGTGAGTGGTTTCAAACAATTATGATGTTTGCACCCCAGTAAGCTCTCATCCGAGGCTCACCAGGAGCACTAAGAGCAGAGGCAAAATGTCGTGACCTGGTAAATTTGGTTGCAGGTATTTATTTTTAGAAGAACTGCATGCAGCAAAGCTTAACTTTGCTCAAAAGAAGATAATTAAAAATTCAATACTGAACAATGGTGTCCCTTGAGCTGTCAGACCAAACTCCCACTCTTGTCACTCAGGAGTTCCTAACTTGTGCGTAGAGGATCAGCACAACCCAGATTTGTGCTGCAAGCGCACCTGCAATATGAAAGTTGAAAAAACATGAGATGAAATATGAGACGTTTACAATTCTCTGTAATGAGAAAATACAGTACAGCTCTCGAAGAGGAAGATGGGAGGGTATGCCCCTCCTTCCCTCCCCTCCTCCTTTTCTGCTCCCTCCCATTTAGGGGGAAATTTCCCCACTAAATTTAGCGGGTTAAGTTTCCCAATAAATTTAGCGCGGAAATTGATGTCACATGACCTCTACACAAATGCAGTTTTTCTGCTAAAAGTAGCGGGGAAAATGACGTCGCATGACCGTGTCACGTCATCCATAAAAACACTCAGTTTCTCAGCTAGACTTAGCGGAAATATTAACGTCACATGACCACAACATTAATTCAATTTCCTGCCAAGTTTAGTTGGGCGGTTACGCCGACAGCGACGCCGCGAAACGCGGAAACGGGTGCTAACAGCTGCGCTAAAAACTAAATGCATCAGGTGAAATAAAGTGAACATTAGATATACTGTAAGAAAAAGGAGAATCTAAGATACCGTTCTCAGATCCTTCCTTTTGTCCGTTCTCAAATGTTTTGATATCAAGAAATGTTTATCTCTTTATTCATACCCAGAGAATTCCTCCCAGTTTCAGCATGAATGCAATAAATCAATGCAGACTAGACCTAGTAAACTATAATGCACATAAAAATGAATGTTTGCCACATAGTCATGTATCAGTCAGTGGCTCAGATCTCAAAATACATTTGTATTGAGGAACATTCTTGAATAAAACTTCTGGGCTTCGAATTCAACAGTTTGTACTTCCATAAGGAACACTGTATGGCACTGATTTTTTTTGTTTTTTGTGACACATCAGAAACAGCACAACACTGTCATCCTTGCATACCTAACAAGAATTTGTATTTTTTTTTAGCATGGCATGTGCTATTCTAATGCCCATACAGCCTCCTTTAACAAAATTTCCTTTGTATAGCTTTTTATTGGTTCTTATTTAGCTCGCACGACAGATTCGGTACCTTGAATTCTCACTCGGCATCAACAGTTTTATATATTAATGTAATAGCGAAAGACAAGATGTATGGACTTGAGTATGGTTCAACAAGCACAGATGTTGAGAAAAGTACTGAGGAAAACTCAAATGTCAAAATAAAAATAAGCTGGAATGTGGATACAATTATGGACATGGTCATGAATACACTTAGCAGATTCAATATAAAGAATATGTGTTAGACGCACGCTCAAAGAAACCTGTTGCATCATTATTCATTCAAATTACTTTGCAGAACCCAGCGCTGCAGTCTCAGGTGGGAGTTCGCTGGATGAGTCTACTGAAAATGAGTGTAGACGGAAAAAGCAGTTTGATCTGCGATAATGAGCATTACATAAGTGACATGTCATTATTACTGTTACAGTGCCGAATGTTCCAAACTGTCAGTCGCATCATTCTGTGAATTCCCTCCGTACATTACAGGGTTTGGCTCTTTCGAATGCTTTGCGAGAAAAATGATGAACTGGAAATATCTAGAGTAGTTCTAGAAAAACTATTTCCAGAATCTTATCTCAGCATCGCAAAGAATATAAAAAGTTTCTAAAGACAAGGTTAGTGCAGGAGTTGAATAAACTAAATACTTTGTTTTTCGAAATTATCTTGCCGTAGTAAACGTATGAAGTTCCCCTAGGTAGAGCTAGTCATTACGGATAATTGTGCCCATTGCATACCATAAAAATTTAATTTGCGACCTACAATGTTTACAAACTCAATTAACTCTGAATAAGTGGACCACTTGGCATTAAAAATTGGCCTCACCATGACTGTCTGCCAACATCTACATAATAATTTTCATGAACCTATGTATTTCAAGAAAATATTTGGTGCGAGCTGCTTAAAACACAATAGCACTTTTTAACAAGTGCTGATTGTTGGGCAAGTTCGTACGGTACGTTAGAAAACATAATTGCGCTTTAAAGACGGGGACATAGGAAGGACAGACACCACCGAGTGCTAACTTTCAACTGATTTAATTCAAGAACCTCAGCGTAAAAACACACCGCGTCACCGCACCACATCTCAACCA